CATCCGCAGTCTGCGTGTTGGGATGAAAAATCGTTTCAATGAGAACCACGACTGCTAATTCTAAGCCAGAGGAAGTCTGGGTCATTTCAACTTACAGATTGTTTATCATTGGGGTGGACTATCCATTTATGGAAAAATTTTCCATTTTCTATGCAAGAAAAGTTCATGCCTTAAGTTTTTCGTTGACTTAATTTGCATAATTATCTTTTTTGATAAATCTTAATATCCAAACATTTCAAATTAATTAACGCTATGTGAAACATTTTGTCTCGCTTTCATTCTTTGTGAATAATTCAGAGAATATTTGCTCCCGCTCCGTTCTCTGCCAGAAAGTTCCTGAGACTTTAGTTCCCAAATTGTTCTTCGAGAGAAAGTTCCTTAGACTTTAGTTCCCGTTGTGATCTTTGCCAAAACGTTCTGAAAACTTTTGATCCCATTTTGGTCTCTTAGAAATGTTCGCGAAAGTATCTTTCACATTTTGTTCTCTTTGGAAACATTTTACAGGGTATTTTTCGTATATGATTCCCATTGAGAACGTTCTCGAAAGTTTTGTTTTCATTTGGTTTTGGTTTTGAAGCGTTCTTGAGAACAAAACTACGACAGCGGCATTTACTTTCGATCCCACCTTTTCTTCTCGGTAACATAAATTTTGTGTTTGAAGTGCAGAGAAATTTTAAAACCTACCTGAGAAAACGGCTCTTAGACAAATTCAAAGTGCTATAAAGACTTGGTGGGTATCGAGCTATTCGGATTTTGATTTGAATACAATGCAGAGCCGCTATCAAGGTGGACGAATTCTAAGTTGCCGGCCCATGCCAAATAACATAGGGGAATAAATTATTCTAGAGACTGCGGATTCGTCTCTAATGACCACCTCTCCAACCTATTTAATGCATTAAATAAATAAGCATTCGCTAATTTTCACTTACTTCTCATCAAACGAATACTGCCCATTCAGCACCTGGAACATTTTCTGGTAGAGTGTATTGAAGAATTTATCCATCACATCCAGCAAATCGGTGCGTCCACGTGTATAGTAATTTTCCAATTCATTAAATAAATCGGAGAAAACATAGGAATTTTGCTGATAGATGACGCCATAAGTGCGTGTGAACATATTGTGGAACTCCTCCTTGGATTCGCTCAATAATTTACGGAAGATGGCTGCAAAGACGATAAATCGTGGATATAAATAAACTTTATTAGAAAACAATTTGAAATAAAATCCAATGCTAAAATAATTATAAAACGGAAATAGGTTGTAAAAAGGGTAAGACTGAGAGGAAATCAAAATTTTCACTCCGTCATAGTCGATTAGGGCTGCTTGCGGGTGCGCATGCGCGGCAGTTGGTTACAAAATTTGACACAACGCATATAATTGAGACTTCCGCCAACACTACTCCGCGCTTCTTAAGCGATTTAAATTTGATTTATGCTTATTTGTGTACAAACGAGAAATTAGATTTGCCTTGTTTCGGCAGCTCTGCAATCGTTAAGCGAGAATAATTGGAAAATTCGACATCCGCCAAACAAAAGTTGTTGACACAAGCAGCAGTATATGCAAGTTACAAGCTAATTTTACAAATTACATCAATGCATGCACTCTTTAAGCGAGCGTCCCGCACTGCATGCGCACCACGCGTTCAATATGCACGCTTCATTTGACAGCCTCTTGTAGTGCCACCGGAGGAGGCTCCGCCGCATCAGCACCCCGACTAACACGAGCAATGTGTCATGTGACACACAACAGATATGTGGATAGCCTTAGGTGAACAAATCGCCTACATTTGATCTATGCATATCAAAGGCGCTTGCATGTGAGTACCCCCCACTTTTTTGGTCGCTTGCTTTTGCCACGCAACCATCTTCTATCCGTTCAAGTGGGTGTCAAATTAATTGTGTCATAGAAAATTACACAGGCGTGTGTACAAGCGCACATATTTATATGCTTGAATTTCCGCAGTAGCATGTTTGGCTTGCGTCGACCTTTCTTTTCAAGCGTACTGCGGCTAGTACTTTCCTAACTGAAAGATGTTGTTGTTTGAGCAATCTATAATTTATTGGGTTTCTGAAGAGGGAAAACTCGAAACTGAATCAGTGGAATTTATGAAATTTTAGACAACCATTTAACCACAAATCAGTTACATGTACTTATATGTGCATAACTCTTATAGGAGATGACAGATACGATATTTAGCACGAAATTTAGCGATATTTGATTCTTCAAAAATTTTCATCGTTTTCGTTTTTAAACCTCCAAAATTTTAGGTAGAAATAATAGATGCACGTTCGTGTGAAAATGTGAAAATGGGTGATGGCTTTCTTGCATCGCATAATGTAAAGTCAGCTAGTATATATAATTAGGAGTTAAGACATTTTGGACAAATCAGCTGTTAAGTGGATCTCATCCGTTCCTATACGTAAACCTATACAAAATTGAGTTCGGATAAACACGACGCTAAAAACCTAGAAGAAATATGCTGCTGAACCGTTATTGAACTCAATGTCAGCCGGATCGGCGAGTAGTGTAACTTTTTTTTTTTGAAGAGCGACTAACAAATTAGTTGCCGGCTAAACCGAATTTTCTCGGCCTGTTTAATTTCGCAACCGGCTAAATCTAGCCGGAAAACGGCTAAAATGAACTCAACATATGTTCGACAGGTACCTTCCGCAAGCTCAATATGTACCGTAAAGACAATACTAGTAGACATCTGCCATTGACAAAGGCCAATTATAGTTGCTTTATAAGGCCTTCCGTTAGCTCAGAGAACAGTTTTTTTCCGACTGAAGGAATTGTACGGACTACGTGAGGTCGGACTCGCAATAAGTTCAGGATATTTTTTTTCAGTTTGCTTCTTTATGCAAAATAATTCCCAAAATAACTCTTTCAATATAGTATGAATCGATCAAGTAAATAAAATTTAGAGCTTTGGCGTGATACTGTCCAATTGTGTTACACTCGGTACGGCTAAATATACCGTCAGCGTCAAAAATGCTCATACCCTGAAGTTATGACGATGTTAATTACTTATACATATTTTCAATACTAAATTTTTCTTGTTTTTTTTTTACAAAAATATAGTTCATTCAACAGCAAGAAGCACAAGAATAAATTTTTTTAATTTCATACAGTACTTGGGAAAATGCAAGAAATTTTCATCGAAATTTTCAATTTTTCAATTATATTTCTTAGAAAATTTTGGAGTATGCAGTTTTGTAGCCTAAGAAATTATAATAGATATTATAAAGTGCAAGCACGTACCTTCTTTCATATAAAAAGAAGATTGTGTTAATGCGTTACATGGAAGAAAATGCGGACAAAAATCAACTTTTTAGTAACTTTTAGCGATTTGAAACCTAGACTTAGACTACAAAACTGCATATTCAAATATTTTGTTGTGTGTAAAATTTACTATTGCGGGCTGTTATCAGTTACCCTTCGAAATATAATCGGCATTACGAGGGTCCTGTTTCTACGTTTTAACAATTAACTTGTAATTCTTTTACTCACAATTAAATTTTTGTGCTTTCGCCGTCAGTGCATTCGACATTTTCGTTATCTGATCCTTGGATTGCCTCTCCAGCTGGATGCGCGATTGCAGCGCCATGCGCGTCTCCATGTTGTACGTACAGCAGGTGCCGACCGAAGGTGATTCACAGTAACGTAGTACCATTTCTGAAAGAAAGAGAGAGAGAAAAAATGGCATAAGTTATAAAATTTGGACGAAATTTAAATAATAAATAACAGCGAAATACGAGTATTTAAGCAATGGCCTGCAAATATTTACAAAAGAATTTATTACGTAAGTGTAAATGAGTTTCTATATGACGCTAGCAGGTAGCCAAGCTAAGCAAGAATGCAGAGCAAATGGAGTGCAACGTGTCGGAGATGCGCTTGTTGGAATTTTTTTTCAGATTGCACTAAATTTCTATTTGTGCGCATTGCTACACATGTGAATAGATTTTTTGGTTTATTTACATATGTACATGTGTTTGTGTGTACTTATTTATGCAATAATGCGCTACATTGCTTGCCTAAAGATTGAGATAGTATTCTAAATTGAAGAGATAGCGTGGAAAAGTGGCAAGCGGGAAATAACGCTGTTGTCTGTTCCACGAAATGCCACCATACACGCGGCTCGGTGCAGCGCTTCTTCAACAGAATCCGGCTTGTGAGCGCTTCACGTGAAATACAATACAATGGGGAATGCAAATAAGAGAAAGAATATTTCGTGAGCCTCATATTTAAGCAATTTTAAATTTAAAGTTTAAATGCTGACTGCTGATTACTCATAGTAGCAGCAGCAGTATTTCTTTCGCAAGCCAGCCAGACATCCAACTTATTTACTTAAGTAATTTACACGTTACTCCTTGGCCTGCGCACAGTCACACATACATACTCGAAAAACGTACAAGAGTCCATATACACAATTCGCTTGCTAGGTAGTTAAAACCCGATGCCAATACAAAACCACCTCTTTCACCTCCGAGCCAAAACATTCCTCAGCGGCAGCTAAAATATTTCGATGCCTCGGTTCATCTCAGTTGGAGTAGTCGGAAATGAAGTGTAAAGAATTCCAAATCAATAAGCGCGCTGCTGCATGCCACGCTGACGCACTCCCGCACTTACACACTCTCCTTCACATTTTGCCTTTGTACGCTGCTAGTGAAAAAATAACCAGCTTTCGACAGTCCATTTAAATGCGCGCAATTACATCGAATTATGTGGTGTTTGGCTGCTTGCAATTCATGGATAGGCTATCATCCTTGGGCCCCTTTCGCCCCTTTGCGTTGCACCTGAAGTCGTTTGTGGCATGTGTAATGTGTGCAGCAGGCATGAGTACCTCGTAAAATAAACATCCAAAAACGAAGTAAAATGGGGAGTACATATACATATATATACGTATGTACATCGAACGAGGCTTAATGAATTGCCTGGCGGTAATACTCATCGACTGGCAGTCACAAAAACAAACGAAAATGAAAATGGAATGCTGCGTGGTACTGGCGGAGTTTTGTGAGGCTACATAAATTTTTCACTTTTTCGCTATTTTTGTGTGCTTTTTATGACCAATACCACCTACATGTGCACATATCTATGCACATAATCACAAACAGACATTGCAATTCGCTACATTTTTCATCAATAAATTAAGCCTTTTTCATTGGTTTATGCGTGAGTGTATGTGTTTGCATACGCGCACTTTTTTTTGCTTTTTTTTGTTTTTTAAACAAATGAAGTGTGAAGTGGCAGCGCCTGAAAGCGCGCCACAGGCTCCACTGTTCATTGTCCGCTTGCATTGCTCTGTTGTTTGTGTTTTGAAAAGCAATTAATTAGTTGAGGCAAGAAATCATTGCCTATTCGACTTTTTAATTGCCTGTACAAACTACTTTGTGGCGTGCAGCGTGAATCACCTGCTGTTCGGTGGCACAATTGAGTGAACGTAAACGAAGAAATGAGGCGAAAATTTACAATACCACGATGAAGAAATTTCGAAAATGCAGAAAATTCAATGCAAACTGAAAAGTTGGTGGAAATACATGCGTGTTTGTTTAAGAGAAATGCTAGACGAAACGTCACTGGCATCTATTAAACATAAATTAAGAACTCATTAAGAGCAACGTTTTTTTTTTTTGAAATCCAATTGCTGGACCACCCAAGTTACGAATCATGTTAGCATCAGACACATTTTAGTTGAGGTAACAGATGGAGACAACTTTTTGAAAATTAATTTTTGTCACTAAATTAAAATAACTTTAATGTGCATACATACATATTTGACCCGAAATAAAGAAGATCACCATCTCACCAAAAACGTGTGTGTCGGCCGTTTGTTTAATCGTAAAATTTCATTAAGAAAAATTGCTTTCGTGATCAAAAAAAATTTTGAGATGGGTACATTTGCGCACTGGCATATCGTTGCCGCCAAAAAGCAACTGCACTACCAGGTCCCGTTTTTATAACTTCGTAATACTACTTATATGTGCAAATATCAATAAATAGTTATTTATAACAAAACTAACGGTTTAAATATGTAATTTACTTGCTAAAATCGAGAAAATCAGGAAATTTCTAGTGCAACTCGTATAAAATCTACTTTTATTAAAGTATAATTTCTTGGGCTATCTGACCTAAAGCTAAGCCCCGAGCTTTAGGTCAGACGTTCATTTGTAGGTTCTAAGGAATAGAATGACAGGTATTAAACAAATGTGCCAGTTACCAAATGTAAAAAAAGGCGGCCTACAGCTGTAACTGCATTTCGCGTATTTTATAAAAAGCGCGAATTTTCTTGTGGTAGTCGTTGAGCGGTTCTTATTTTACATTTGTAATAATAAAATATACTTCTTTTCTTCTTCAGGAGAAGAGTCCTAGGTTAAGGGACAACGTGGTACTTAACATTTCTAAAAAATCGTTTTGAGAAAAGGGCCTTTTCCAATAGCTCCAATTTTTCTCCAAGAGTATGCGGTTGATTTCGTATATCTCCGTACGAAGTTCCAGTACTCTACCATGAACACTTCCAGATATATGGAGTATGAAAAAATTCGGTTTGTATTGTATGGATNGTACGAAGTTCCAGTACTCTACCATGAACACTTCCAGATATATGGAGTATGAAAAAATTCGGTTTGTATTGTATGGATGCTTGGGACACGTGCGGCAGGTGTCTGAAGTTTCAAAAAAATCGCTTCAGCCGTTCTCGAGCTTTGCGAACACTAAAAAAAACGGCTTTCAAAATATATATTAGTATAAATAGATATATTATACATTATATTATACTGTGGCTGTATCCGTTGTTTCTGATTGTCTAAAAAAAAAACTTGCCTAGAGACGAATTCGCCCTTTGCTATGGTGGTTACTCAAAGCTTTTTATATTCGCAATTTCATGAAAATTGGAAAACAGGATCCTGTGACCTTATCCAGGCAAAAGGCTACCTACGTACAAGATTTTAATCAAATCGGACCATAGATACGATTTTTCGAATAGATCGGTCTCTGGTCCACTTCGCGGAAAAAGGATCATTTATGCTAATCTAGACAAAAAGCTACATACGTACCAAATTTTAAGCAAATTAGACCATAAATACAATTTTTTCAAATAGATAAATAGATAGATTTATGCTAATCTACGTAAGCAAATCTGACCATAAATACGATTGAATAGATCGGCCCCTGGTCCATTTCCCGGAAAAAAAGATCCTATATGCTAGTCTAGGCAAAAAGCTACCTACGTACCAAACTTTAAGCAAATCGGACCATAATAAGATTTTTTCGAAAAGATCGGTCCCTGTTCCACCTACCGGTCAAAAGAATTTTTTTTGCCTAAAACATGGTGGTTGCTGAAAGCCATTTATGTACAAAATTTCATGAAAATCGGACCAGCCGTTCGGGAGATTACCTGTTACAAAAAAAAGGAACTTCTTTTTATATAATTAGTATAGATGTTATCTCTTAGGATAATAGTGTAAGGTTGCCACTTATTTTCGATTTTACACAATTTATCTAAAACATCGCAATATGGAAGGTATTGTTGAGAACTTTGGACAGAAAATATTTTCCATCAGGATTGCCAAGCTTCTATGTAATATAAATTTTTATTTTGTTAATTTCAGTCGAAATTTTTTATGTATACACAGTACATATACGCCCAAGACCATTCATTACAGCGTATTTCGGAATTGGGTTTCCACCTAAATTTTAGAGTAAGGAATTTACTTAATAAATATCGAAACCCTATTTTTTTTTTGTTTATTTCCAAAATGTTTTTTTATGCTATCCAAATCTTGGAAACTTTAAAAGGTACATATATGCACTGCGGGCAAAGCTCGGTCAACCTGGTACTTCTAAAAAAAATAACAACGACTGATTTCCAAACACCTACCAATTCTTTTACGTCGCTAACTGCCGTCACTGCCATCACTAATCATTTTTAAGCTGCTGACGCTAAAACCACATTCCCCGTCTATGTGGCATTCGTATTATTTGAACCCTTTTGTTATTGCATACTTTTATTGCCAACAATTTTGTGTAATTGTTATGACGGCAAAATGTCAAATGCTGGTTTTATAAATGTCAGCATGTATGTAAGCAGCGTTGCCGTTGTACGGCTAAAGGGAAATTTGACTCTTTTTAAGCGCCAATACCCTTTGACCCGACTTTTTAAAAATTTGGATTTTTTGACCCTTTTTAAAGATTATGTGCGACTCTGGCCCCTTTTCTGAATTTTTTTTTAGGAAATGTTATCCGAACCCTGCTATTAAAAAATATTTCCTCCTATAAGTACGAAAAAATGCATCACTTAAACCTGTCAAAGGACCGCTTTTTTGTGCCAAGCTTGTCCCGCTATTTTGTTTTTAAATTCAACAGATTTACTCTTTTACTAGTGAAGAAAAGCAAAAATAATAAGGTGACCCTTTTGTTCGTCAATGACCCCTTTTTTGCGGATTTCCGAAAATTCTCAACGGCAACACTGTATGTAAGTATGGTGAAGCAACTAACGAAGTGTGTGCATGTGGACGTGCTTGTGGGTACTTTGCATGGCATAACCATATCGACCTTATCTAAATTGCTTGGACCATAATTATAAAAATTTATGCTAACGCGTCAGTTTAGCGAGTTAGTGGGTATGCAAGAACGAGTGAATGGCATGAAGGGAATAAGCTTAATTGCATGCTATT